AAAATATTTACATATTCTTCAAGTACATCAAGACTTTCTAGCAAGTTGACATTTTGGATACAATAAGACTCTAAAGCTAATATCTAGAGATTTTTGGTGGCCGCAAATGTGAAAGGATGTAAAAGACTTTGTTTAATCGTGTGACATTTGTTCAATGTCAAAAACTCCTTAATATGGACCATATAGACTTATTCAACGATTACCTATTCCAAAACAACTATGGTCTTCTATTTCTATGGATTTTATTACAGATCTTCTAATCTTAAGATTGTATGATTCTATATTTGTGATAATAGATCATTTTATCAAAATGGCATATTTTGTATCATATACAAAATCTATTATAGGTGAAGAAACTGCCAAACTTTTCTTTGACAATATCTATCGATGTTATGAATTGCCAAAAGATATTATATTCAATAGGAGGACTCAATTTATATCAAGATTTTAGACAACTCTTTTTAAAATTTTAAAGGTAGACATAAAGCTTTTTTTGGCCTTTCATCTTCAAACTGATGGACAAACAAAGCACATAAACCAAGTTTTAGAGAAATACTTAAGGTCTACCAATAATTATCAATAAGATGATTAGAGAAACTTCTTGACATTGGCAGAGTTTGCTTATAATAATATGATGCATTCTTCTATGCAACAAATAAATTTCTTTGCCAATTATGATTACCATGTACAACTTGATACTTTTGACTTTTCATAAGTTAATAATCTTGTGGCAGAAGGTTTGACAAATTATTTGTTAGAGCTATATTTAACAATGAAGGTGCAATTAAAAGAAGCTCAAGAATGACAAAAGATCAATGCGGTGTCGTAGTGTAATATGACTATATGGTAAAAGATGATAATATGGATCTTATTATAGAAGATTAAAGTTAAAAGAAAAAGTAAAAAAATATAGATAAAAGATAGGAAGGTAATAAAACTTTTAGTAGTAATGCTGCCCTTTTAGAAAAAATAGCTACTACTTACTTTGTAGGGCCAAAAATAAGGCAAAATAAAATAGATTGGAAAAATAAATGATATAGACATCTTTAAAAGAAAGTTAAGAGTAAATTCTAGCAAAATATATTTAAAAAAACTAGATATTGATACCTAGAGAAGGCCGGTTATGAACCAGGGTCGAAATCAGACCTTGAGGCACAAAACCGAATCTCGACAACAACTTCAAGGTTCTTTTGCAGATTGAAGTGTAAGGTTTGATAGAAAATTGGATAGGGTTTCTATAAGCATAGATTTTGGATGATTTGGAGTTGTTATGATTTTGTAAGAGCTTTGCAAAGTCAAGGTTTGTTTTGGATGACTTGGATTTTGATGAAATAAAATAGGGTTTATATTTTGGGTGATTTCAAGAGTTTTATAATAGATCTATGGGTGAAATTTTGTGGATTCCTGGTTATAGTTGTGTTTAATAAGTATTGTGAATTTAAGTTTGATCTAACAATTGAATTGAGGATTATTAAGGTTTAAGTGGGTCAAGGTCTCAAATAATAGAATTTTAGGTCTAGTGAGGGTTATTAAGATTTCTTATAATCTACTAGTTGGATTGAAAAAAAAATTTGTGTGTGAGGATATAAGACTTGTTTTTCTATGTATATAAGAAATTTAAAATCAATCGAACGGTGAAAAAGAGAGATATTGGCTTTGGAAGATTGGCATCAATGTTAGAGAAGGAGGCCGGCCAATACCCGAGCCTATTTTTGAGATTATCGTCAATTTGGTAATTTCGAACCTTTTCAAATTTTTTGTACTTGTTTTTAACTTATTTTTTAAGAAGTGTGCAAAATTTGAGTTAAGATCAATGGTTTATTCATTAGTTATTGAGGTTTAAATCTATTATAAGAATTACTAGGATTGGTTAGAGATTAATTTAGGATTTAGAATTTGGTTAGGATTTGATTTAGGATTAGGTTTTGATTTAGGATTTAGGATTTGGTTTAGGGTTTGATTAGGTTTTGATTTAGGATTAGGATTTGATTTAGGTTTAAGATTTAGGATTTGGATTAGGGTTTGGTTAGGGTTTAGTTAGGGTTTGATTTAGGATTTAGAATTTTATTAGGGTTTAAGATTTAATTAATTTTGGCCTAAAGTTTGCATGAAGTTCAATAGCATTTTTACTAGAATTAAATTAAGATTGAATTGAGATGTACTTGAGTGATATTTGTGATCATTCTAATATTTCTTTAAGAATTTTTATTGTTTGTTTGAAATTTCTTTGAGGTTTTTTTGAAAATTGCTTAGCATTATTATGGTCTAATTAGAGTTTAGTTAATATTTTATTATAGTTAAGATTTTGTTGTTGTAATTTCCATTCTACCTTCGACATCTAGGTGTCCGGAGCATTCTCAAGCAAGACTTCACGTATTACGACAACGGATGCTTATTGAAAGGAATAACCACAATTCAATGTCGGTGACAAGGTATGGTTGCTTTATCGTACTATTAAGACTACTCATCTTTGTGATAAGTTGGACTATAACAGGCTTGGACCTTTTCTTATTTGTAGATAAATCAATCTTGTTGCTTATTGATTATATCCACCAAAGACAATGAAGATCCATCTTGTCTTTCATATCTCTCTTCTTGAATTGTAGAAGACTATGAACATAACAAGAAGAAGACAACCTCCACCTCCTTTTATAAAAGTGAACAATAATGAAGAATTTAAAGTAGAAGAAGTTCTAAACTCAAGGTGGCGCCGAAATAAATTAAAATATCTTATCCATTGGCATGGATATGATATTAGTGAACATACATGGGAGCCAATAAAAAATCTTACAAATGCAACAAAGGTAGTGGAGGCTTTTCATCAACGACATCCATCTAAATTACAATGAAGAATAGTAAGTCTTTGCTATAAAAGAAATAAGATCTAAAGAAGATTGTATTCTATCTTCTATCTTTTTTTGTAGCTACCGTGTATTTGTGATGCTGAGGAGATAAAGAACCAACAACTAGCAGATTCAACTCAAGAGCTTTCATTTGCGGATTACCAGATGAGACATTACAATTATTACAACCTTCAAGACAATGAAATTGAGATGAAGATCTTCAAGAATGACATGTCTTTACTTGAATAGATGGCAAGATACAATGTATTTGATATCATGACCTTGGAAGAAACTCTTAATATTTGGTGATTTTATTAGAGGAGGAACAGTTCTTAACAATGTTTCAAATATTTTATTTGAAGGAAGTTACAAAGGCTTCAACAATGACCAAATAACAAGGAGGTCTTTCTACTGTCATACTATAATTGCGTATAATATGTAAAAATTAATTAGGACATATAATATGTTCATAAATCAAGGAGGTTGCCTGAGGCCTTATTAGGAATTAGGATTTCTTTTTTGAAGTCATTTGAGCTTTGGAGGCTAGGGTCATCAAGTTTAGATTTTTGAATATGGATTGGATGCAAATTTTATGTGATTTGAAATTTTTATGAAGGCGTTATTGGCGCTCAAAATTAAGGTGTCAATTTCACACCTACTATCACTCTTTGGGGCATAACATATGTTTACGGAAAGCAACAAAGAATCAACAATTGAAATTAGAGAGAGCACTTTTTTTACTATAATTTTTATGTATTATTTAATAAATTTAGATTTTGGATAAAGAAGTTATAAAGAGTTAAAGGCAATGCATGCAAATCAAAGGAAGTAAATAAGTGATTTTTTTCATAGTAATGGTTGGAGCCATATCTTGAGTTTTTGAACGAATTTTTTGCTCAAATCTTTTAGAAAAGATAGATTATTGTGTTAAAAAGCTATACATATAAATTTTGTGGCATTTAAGTATTTAATTTTTGAGATATGAAGAAAATTATATATAAATATATAAAAATTAGGATTTAAAGCTATTGTTAGGATTTTAGTGATATCTTAAGAATTGCTATGAATTTACAATTGAAATTTGTTGTAATAGTTGTTAAAAGTATATCAGTACTTTATGTAAAATTTGAGTGTGTTTGAATGGTCCAATTAGAAGATATGAGTTTTTGAAGTTTAGAAATAATACTTCATAAAGATATTTAAGGATTTAGAAGTTTTATCATATTTTGGGTGTTTTTGGAAACTTAAGACTTATATATTTGATATAATAGTACCTAAATATATATATATATATATATATATACAAACTTGGTCTTTTTTATCTTAAGACTTGATTGATTAATTAGTGGCAGCTAAGAGCCTAGTGCTTTCTTGAGGCAAACTCTCTCTACCTTGATATCACCCTAATATGGGATACTATCGATGGCTGAAAGGGCCTATCAACTATTCTCAGAGAGAACAAAAATTAGAGTAAGTGGCAAATATAATTTGCTGCATCTTGGATTTTCTCAACATATGAAGACTACTCCTTCTGGAACTTGTCCCTAGAAAGGGAGATAATGTCACAAATATATACATGTAAATTAATAATTATTTATATGATTTAGATAATAGTAGGTAAAAGTAGGTCAATTTTATAATATTTTCTATAGAAGCTTTGTAAACGCTGCTTTGACTTTATAGGTGTCTTTTATTGATTTTTTAGGTTAAAAACGTAATCAATAAGTTGGCCATATGCCACACCTGTTGGTAGCTTAAAGAATAAGCTAACTATGTGGCCCATATATAGAAAACTTATCTTGTAAGCTAAAGCATGTGTCTTGTAAAGTCAACACATATTAGAGATTCCATAGAATATTGCCACATAGCTCCTAGTTAGATAGTATATATAAAGGCAAGAATGAATCTCTCTTTACTCTTGTCAATTCTTCTCTTGCTTCTAGTCTAGATTTAAAAGTTTTTAGTTTCTTTGTCATTTGATAATAGCCATTTTAGTTTTCTTTTAATATACATACCTCTTTATTTCTATTTTTTCACTTTTCTTTTGATACAAATTTTTCAAGTTTAGCCTCTTCTTCTTGTTCTTGTCCTTGATACTTCATCCAAATCTTTAATTTTTTTCCAATCACAAGTTTTGACCACAATTTACTCAATAAATAGAGTCCAAATACAAGTCAGATTTTATTAAAAGGAACTAACTCAATTGAGATGTGCAATTCACCACTTGTGAATTGCCATTCTCTCATTGATTAATTTGGATTCTTCTTGATGATCCTTGGCTGAACTTCCACTTGGTGTAAATCCAAGGTGATGATAGCCTTCTAAATAAACTCCAGGGCTCTCACCTTTGAACGTCTGCTATTAGGCAGAAGCAGACGGTGGTTGATTTCGATGGATCCGATAGTATAAATCTGCCCTCTTAATTCTAATTCTCCTCCTGTCTTCTAACTTCTAAGTAACAAGCCCCAAACTTTGGCCGGAATGCCAAGTTCAAACTACAATCAATCGCTCCTAAATTATCACGACAACTACAGCTTCAATCGCCCTGAGCTCCGGTGATGGGAGATCTTTTAAAAGATGCTTCAAATTTTTTTGCCTTGCAAGTCTGTACCTTTGCAAAAACAGAGGATGTCTGGAAAAGTTAGACGGCGAGAATCAGTCACAAATCGGATTTGTGGACTCCAGCTACATCAATTGTAAAAATAGGGAGAGAATGAACAAAACCAGATTGCATTGTTGACAACTTCAACGACAATCCAACAACTTTCCACCAAGTGTTAAAGGTTCCCTTGGACTGTTGGCAAATGGAGGAGCAAAAACTTGGTTCTTATCCTTCCTGATTTGAGGACACAATGTCAGACAAATCTAGCACTAGACTAAACTAATGGTTTTGTTTTTCTGAGACATAAGCAACCGCACCACTAGGAGGAAGATCCGATTGATTTCATCCGAAGTCCATGGCATCCACCTCACAATCCACCCTCAGATGATACAACGTGCAACTACACTTACACTCTCAACTTTCGACTCTATTGGCTAAGAAGGATCTACAATACACAAGTGTATACTACTAGTCAACACACTCACTTCTTGTGATTATTATGCTCTAGCCGTCATCTAGTTCCACCGGAACTCTATATCACACGAAGCCTCTTTAGTGTCAACTGCCGTAGAACGGAAGCTCCACAAGTTAATTACAACAGCTCAATTTTGACGACTGATCAGATTGGAAGAACAAATGGTTGTGGAATTTGCTTGTTCATCCACTGGAGGAACCAACTCGATTGGATCCAATGAAGAATTACAACCTTATCTCAGCACTGCACAACCCATGCCGTGCTCCAGCCATTGCACCAAGGAACAGAAGCTCCTCCGAAGCACCTCGTCTTTACCAACCATATACTACTACGAAACCAAAGGAAAAATATATACAATTCATCAATTTTGATTCAAACTCAACGACACCTCCAAGTTTTCAATGTTGATTACTTACTACAACCAGCTAATCGCCGCTTGTGAATACACCCTTGAGCTTGAAGTATGGGTGTGTGGAAACACACTGAATCTCGACTGAAACCCCATGCCAACACCAGCAACACTCCACTTGGAATCGCTTGAGGGAGTAGCACAAGAGCCTTCACCTCCTAGCTCCACAACGTGGAATCACCCACCACCGCCATTGAGACCGCAAGCATAGAAGAGGAACACCCTCGAACTGCCAAATGTCAGACCATGATCCAAGTTCCGCAGTACCCCCACGAGCTGGACCATGCAGTAGCTCATCACTTCCCAACTAGTCGCTGCTCACACGCCTAGTTCCAACTTCTCTTGATGCAAGGGCAACTTATATCAGAAAAAGAAACCGCCACAGCAATCGCTGAACGGAAATTAGAAGAGGAATCGAAACTAAGTGCAGCCAACCGCAACCACACCATGACGACGAAGAAAAGAGAACTGCACAGCTTGCGCCATAGATCTAGAGAAGGAAAAAAATGAAAAACAAAAACACTGTTCCACAGCCGCCGCAATACACCAACTTGACTGACAAAAAACTAGATCTGCAACCTGCACCGCAAGCTCCAATACGGAAGAAGGAAAACTTTCGCGGCTCCAGTCACCACAAAAAAGTTGGTTTCTTCCTTGTTACGATGCAGTACACTGCACTGCAATGCACACCTACTAGCAGCTGCCGCGGAAGCAATCCAACAAGATAAAAAGAACAAAATCCAACGGCTACAGACTGTGACTATCGGAGCTCCAGCGACGAGCTCGACACATAGCTCCCAAGAATGGAACAGAGCACAGAGCACCAATACACAGTCCGCCGATCGCTCAAGCTCTCCATTGCTGATGGGGACCGCAACACACACAATAACAACAACGGAAACAGAGGGAAAGGTGTTCGTGAATCAGCTCACCAAGTCGCCACAGACCACACATGGAAGGAGGGAAACAAAAAACAGAAGAGAACCTCCAACCGCAACTTTCAAAAATTGCTAAGCTCCACAAAACAGCTAGGAAGGAGGAAAAAACAGAAAGAAGAAAAATAGGGTCCAGGCTCGGACCACTGTCGACAGCAGCTCTTCCACGAATTCTGGAGTCGAGCATCAGAGCACAAGAGAAGAAGGATAGGCCGGTTTCCAAGAGTGGCCAAATCCTTCCTTCTAGTTAGTTTCTTTTCCATGCAGCTTTATTTCTAACTCACAAATCAACTAACTACTCCCTTCTACCAATTAATAATTAAAAATATTCTAGAATCTTACACAAAAGATTTAAAAAGAATCCTTTTCTACCATTATAGCTAATTACTTAAGTATTTAGAAATTCCTACATTCTTTTTTTAACAAAAATATTTTAATACTCTAATTGTAACTTATTTTACAAAAATAATTTGTGAGTTGTTTTGATAACTCAAAAAAGTAAAAAAAATATTTTAAAAATTTGCAATATTATTAACAATAAATGTTACAAGAAATATTTTGAAAAGATTAATATATATATATATATATATATATATATATATTTAGATATGTATTGCACAATATAGTAATAAGGTAGAGACCTATAACCTATTGAATTTAATCAATTCATCACATGTAAATGCAAGAACATGATTATATATAAATTGGTATAAAGTTGTATAAGTATACTTAACTTTGAGCTACTTTACTTAATTTGTATTTAAGATGCACGACTTTGCACAACTTTGCACACCTACATACTTAAAATAAAACCTTAAACAGAAGTCAAATCTATTTTAGAGTCTATAATAGTTTATGTTTATTGATATGGTAATTGATTTAGATTATATAAATTAAGAAAGTTGAATTAAATATTATATTCAATATTTTCCAATATATGTACCACATAGCCAACTTATATAATAAATGACCAGTATTTGTAACAAGTGGCCAACTTGTAAAGTAAATAGTCAACATGTGCAAAACATAGCCAACTTGTTTCCACTTATTTCTACCTATATCTTTTATCTAAATAATTACTGATATAAATATGTACATCTATGATATTACATGAAAAATGATAGATTCTTGTATTTTAGATGTTATGATATGACAAACTATAATGCAATCCAAAAGATTGTAAGTTGCTATTGCATTCTTAGTTGTTATTATTTGATATGTTATTAGATTGTTGATGTGTAGAATTTGTCCTTTTATATATAGTATTATAGGTGCAACTCTATTCTAGAGTAATAAAATCAATTTAAATCAACTAAAAATCATATTTCTAATATAAATAACTAAATAGACATAAGATTTACTTTCATGCTTCATCTAATTACTAACTAATATTTATAGATTTTTTAATAAAAAAATATATAGGTAGAAGGTTAATATAAATATTAGTCTTAATAACCAATCCTTAATATTCGACAATAAGTAAAAAAATTATATTAACTAAGATAATTATTTCCAAGACTTACAAAAATTCTATTTTTATAACTTATACTTTGATAAGACTCTTATATCCTATAAACATTGCTAAATTTTAATAAATACTTAAATCATCAAAAAGACTCTTTAATCCTAATATTTTAATATTGAAATAATTGAACCCTATATTTTTTTAAATTCTACCAATTAAAATTTATTGGTGGGATTCATAATTGACTCAATTGATTGCCATAAATTTTCTTGCATCAAATTTATTTGAATTCTATAACTCTATAATATATAAAGAGATATTTCTTCTAATTTTATAATTATAAAGATGTTCCTTACTACAAGGCCCATAGCTCTCAATTACAAATATATAAAAAAGAAGATAACATAAAAATGTATTGTACTCTTATTAAACACCAATCTTTATTAGCAAAAATCTACTATATACTTTTAAAATATTCCTAAATTATAATGTTGGTATAAAAATGGAGCAATAACTTTGACACATAAAATGACTAATATAAACGTATTGTAAAGCATAACATCGTTTTGCTCAAATAAATGTTTAACATGTACAAGTCATCTGTCAAGAATAGATGAAATCCTAACTACCCAAACCTAATGGACAAACATCGAAAGTCCCTAATGGATGTTCATGCCACCAGGTTATCAAAGACTGAAAATAAAGAAACATCGTCGGCGTGAATATCATTGCAAGTGCGACCCAAAACATATCTGTTCATAACATTTTTCGCCATCGATCACGCACAACGAAATGAAAAAGCACATTCATACGTGACTAAACTCTGCAAATTACCATGACATGCATGTCAACTCTAACCTGCATCAATCATCAACCGCAAACCTCCACGCACACCCTCCCCAAACTATTCTCCACACATCGCACATCATGACCAATACAAAGTGAGTGTGCGACAAAGGCTAAAAAAAATAACACATCGAAAACTGAAGTCAGTAAACATCTGCAAGGAGACTCGAATAAAAGGGAAATGATTCGTGCCGACGTGTTCATCTCGAAAAATGCGTGGTGAGATGCACAAAGGGCAAAATATTGGGACGTTGCGGCCTTACCAATGACGATTCCAGGTGATGGTGAAACAAATAAAGATTGCTCATCAAGTTCCGCAATTCGGTGTGGGTCCGCAGAAAGACTGGAAAGGCAACACTCAGCGGCTTCAGTAAAAACTTCTTAACGAATGTCTGATCTGGCAAGCATTTCGACGGAGTATATAGGAACTTCACGACAGTAAGAGTGTAGGGGACCAGACATCTGCAGTGGTTTTCTCTCACCCAACCATTTAGTAGTTTGGGATTATCACTCAAAATGGCCAAGCTCTTCGCTATCCTCGTCGTCGTCGCATCTCTGGTTGCTTTGGCATCTGCTAGTGATGCCGACCCCATCAACGACTATTGTGTGGCCGATTTGGCTAGCAAGGTCACCATCAACGGCCTGGCCTGCAAGGCTGCCTCGTCTGCCATGTCGGAGGACTTCGCGTTCAGGGGCTTCCGCAAGGACGGAGACACCAACAACCCCCTCGGCATCGCGCTTGCACCAGGGTTCGCGGGCATCAACTACCCCGGGTTGAACACCCTTGGATTCGCGTTGGCCAAGTTCAACTACGCCAAGGGTGGGCTCGTGCCCCCTCACACCCACCCCAGGGCCGCGGAGGTGATCTACGTGGTGAAGGGAGAGGTGCACGTCGGATTCGTCGACACCGCCGGGAAGCTCTTCGCAACGAGCCTGAAGAGGGGCGACTTCTTCGTGTTCCCCAAGGGATTGGTGCACTTCCAGCTGAATGTGGGCAGCGGTCACGCCGTGACGATCTCGGTGTTGAACGGGCAGAACCCTGGCGTACAGTTCTCCACCGCCGTGTTCGCAGCACAGCCGTCAATCGACACCTCGGTACTGGCCAGGGCGTTCCAGCTCAAGGACATGGATGTGATGGACTTGCAGACCAAGTTCAAGCCCGCCGCGTAAGCTAGTCCATCCGGATTGCCAACCGGGTCGTTGGCGAGATGAGGAGCGACACATTGTGGACATTGTAGTCGATAGGTATCGTAGATAGGAGGGTTGTTGGATTAGGGACAACTACTCTGAGACGGCATCGTAGTATTGATTGGGGTCAAGAGTGCCCGCATATGAAATGATATTTTTTGTACAGATGCTGCTATGCTGGGTTGCACCGGCGCCACATTGGACTTGAACAATCCTCCACTGTTTTGAAACCTCGTGGCATTCCTCATGAGCTACTGGTGTGAACTTGCGAATTCAACCCTGGGGGATACACGGTTCAAGGAGTGTATAGGGATATATGGTATCGGCGAGTATATTATTCCAAGTACGGCCGAACCCATATCCATTCATGAGATGTGTGGCGATGAATCACACGCAACGATTTAGGAAGCACAACCCTAGGTGACTCAATCCTGCTAGATATCATGTCATACACGTCAACTTTGAGCCGCAGCAATAACCAGCCGCAAACATTCACGCACATCCTCTCAAGACTAATATTGGTACCTCGCACTTCCTGGTCAATAACTAGTGAGTGTGCAAAGCAGTGCAACAATAAATGGCATATCGAGTATCCACGGGTGCCTCACTTGTGCGGGGTGATTCGGGTGAAGTAGAAATGCCTCGTACCGACATTTTCATCTCGATGGGTGGGTGGTGTGATGCGCGAGGATCTTAATTTGGGACACAGCGGTATTAGCGGCGTCCTATTGGAGACTAAGTGGCAGAACTATTGATTGGTGATCGACTTCAGCAATTCGTTGTGGGTCCGCAGAAAGACTGGAAAGGCAACACTCAGCGGCTTCTGTAATAACTTCTTAACGAATGTCTGATCTGGCAAGCATTTCGACGGAGTATATAGGAACTTCACGACATTCCCGATTGCAGAGGTTAAGGTAGTTACAACGCTATTCACTCTCGTCGGAGCGTTTACCTCTGCGCGGTGACTATAGTCAATCTGGACAAGATGGCCAAGGTCCTCGTTATCTTCGTCGTTGTGGCTTCTCTGGTTGCTTTGGCATCTGCTAGTGATGCCGACCCCATCAACGACTATTGTGTGGCGGATTTGGCTAGCAAGATCACCATCAACGGCCTGGCCTGCAAGGCTGCCTCGTCTGCCATGTCGGAGGACTTCGCGTTCAGGGGCTTCCGCAAGGACGGAGACACCAACAACCCCCTCGGCATCGCGCTTGCACCAGGGTTCGCGGGCATCAACTACCCCGGGTTGAACACCCTTGGATTCGCGTTGGCCAAGTTCAACTACGCCAAGGGTGGGCTCGTGCCCCCTCACACCCACCCCAGGGCCGCGGAGGTGATCTACGTGGTGAAGGGAGAGGTGCACGTCGGATTCGTCGACACCGCCGGGAAGCTCTTCGCAACGAGCCTGAAGAGGGGCGACTTCTTCGTGTTCCCCAAGGGATTGGTGCACTTCCAGCTGAATGTGGGCAGCGGTCACGCCGTGACGATCTCGGTGTTGAACGGGCAGAACCCCGGCGTACAGTTCTTCACCGCCGTGTTCGCAGCACAGCCGTCAATCGACACCTCGGCACTGGCCAGGGCGTTCCAGCTCAAGGACATGGATGTGATGGACTTGCAGACCAAGTTCAAGCCCGCCGCGTAAGCTAGTCCATCCGGATTGCCAACCGGGTCGTTGGCGAGATGAGGAGCGACACATTGTGGACATTGTAGTCGATAGGTATCGTCGATTGATTGGTTGTTGTATTCGATGTTTTGACTCTGAGATACCTCACCGTTAGTATGTGGGTATTACCAACTGTATATCTTGAGGATGTAGTGTTAGGACTTGCTGTATGTATTGAGGGATGCACTGGTTTTGATTTGTATCAGATAGGCCTTAATATGTGTAAGATTGGTAGAAAATGACATATCTGTGGAATTTTGATAAGTTATGGTAAGGAATCATGAGCTGGTCAAAACTTTATGCTTAAGTTTTGAAAACAATGGAGGCAAAGAAATCAATCTTGAGAGAAACAAGGAGCAAGCATATTCATAAATCTCTGCAACATGCATGTAGTTTCTGAACTCGTAACATTTCACGAACAGTATGTAGCATCTAAACAATCATCCTTTAGATATCACTGTAATTTTTATGTTGATAAAAGTGTTTCTAGAAAAAGTTATTAATGGTTTCATTTCATTTATATTTTAACCATATATAACACCTTTTTTAAATTAATTTTTTGGATAATAAAAATTAAGAGATTATGTTTCATCATCATTATTTACATCTATGTCAAGTTAAATATATCAAGAAATATTTTTTTAAATAGAAAAAGAGAGAAAAGAAAATTTATGCTATTTAGATCCTAAGAAAACTTCAACCGAAAGATATTTATGATTTGAAAGAGAATATATTACCATATAAGATATTTTCGTGTTAGATTCTTTTAATTATATATTTTGAAATCTAAAATTTAAAAATACATACGTCTATCTTTTTGAAACATTAAATATATGGATTTAAAGTAAATTAAAAAGAGAATACGTTTATTGAATACTAAAAAAGAAAAAAGAGACACTCTTCTATATATACAATAGTTTTATTTTTTTGAAAGAACCATTAGGTAGACACCTCTTATGCCATAGACTATCACATATATACAATAGATTTTTTTTTAATTTAAACTATATTTTTTTAAAGCAACTTCATATCTTAAGATTTCTTGAATAAAATCAGTAAGCTTCTAAAAGTATATAGAAGAATTAGATATATTGTATCATAAAATTCAATATAAATAAATTAAAAAAATAAATTAAAAAAATAAATTAAAAAATGCCATAAGCTGCAATATATAATTTTTTTATTATAAATCTATTCTAAAATGTTTTAGTATGAATATGAGTTTTATTGTTTTATATGCAAGGATATGTGACATAACAAAATGTCTTTGTTGTAAAATAGGATTGTCTACCTCATGGTTTCTTCTTAAATACGAAATTTGAATTAAGAAGACCAAAGGTGCTTTGGTCTTGTATATATATATATATATATATATATATATTCAAAAAGAAACTAGAATGGCTATTGCATTTGATCAAGAAATTAAAAACTCTTGAAATAAGACTAGAAGTAAGAAAGAAATTAGCAATGTGAAGAAGGCTTCATTCTTGCATCTATTTATACTATCTAATTAAAAGCTTCATAACAATATTCTATAGGACCTCCAACACATGTCTAACTTATAAGATAAATGTGTAATTTGTAAGGTAAGCTTTCTATAATTGGATTACATGTTCAACATGTATCACAAGTAGTCAACATGTATGATATATAATCAACTTATTGGCCAAGTTTTTAACCTATCAATCAGCTATAGACACATATAAAGACAAAATTACATTTATGAAGCTTCTAACAAAATTTTATAATATATTTTTAAATTTATCTATTTTTATTTATTTAAATCTATTTAAAATATTCAGATATTTATTCAAATTAATTAAATATATATATATATATATATATATATATAATATTTTCTTCTCTTTTAGGAAAAAAATTCAAGAAGAGTATTGATTATATATTGATGAAGTCCAAAATACAACAAATTGCATTTGTCACATATTCTAATCTTTATTTCCTTTGAAGCTAGTTGATAAGTCCTTTTAGCCATTGATAATGTTCTATACAGAGATAAAAAGTCTATACTAAATAGTTATAAAAAGTTTAGTTCTTTAAAAATAACATATTCTGCCTTAAATAGATGGTGAGATACAATGCATTTGGTATTACAACTTTAAAAGAGATTTTAAATATTTAATGATATCATTTGAGATAGAAACTACTTTTGATAGTGTTTCAAATATTTTGTTTGAAAAAAGTTATGAAAGATTCATAAATGTAATTTTGAAGGACTAAATTTTTATATTGTTATCTTGATGGTTGTAACAATCACAATGTCTTATTTGATAACTTAACAAACTATAGCTTTTGAATTATATGTATTGATTATTGATTTTTTATTTCATTAATACCACAAATATAAAAAAATTACAATCAATAATAAAAGATAGAATATAAGCTTCATTGAACCTTGTTTCTTTTAAAATAAAGAATAGTTTAACTATTCATGTTAATTTTGATGGTTGTTAATAATAAAAAACATTAATCTTTTTTATTGCATTTTTACAATTTTTGGCTGGCTCCTATGTATATTTACTAATATCATATCCATGCCAATGTACAAGTTATTCCAACCTATTTTTGCATTGCCTTGAATTTAAAAGTTCTTCAATCTCAAAATCTTGATTATTGTTTATTTCTATAAGATGATGGAAGATTTTTTTAATTTCTAATATATCTTCTATCTTATAAAGCTTAAAAAAAATATAAAATATAAGATGGATCTTTATAGATTTTAGTAATGTAATTAATAAGAAATTAGATTGATTAGTTTATAAATAAAAAATAGACTCAATTTATAATAATCCCATTTATTACAAGAATACTTGAAAACTAAAACAATTTGTCACAAGGATGAATAGTCTTGATATTGTGATGAAGTAACCATACCTTATCACCCACATTAAATTATGATTTTTCCTTGTGATAGTCATTTGCATTGATCTATTGTCGTTCTTAAACTTTCTTTGATTGTGCCTTTATTGTTGTATGTAGTTTTGACAAACGATTTGTTGAATCTTTTATAGCAAGATTATCAACTTTTGAAAAGTCAAAAATATGAAATCGTAGATAATAATCGTAATTAGTAAAAAAAAATGTTTGTTGAGTAGAAGAATGTATCAAATTATTGTATATAAACTGTACCAATAGCAAAAGAATTGTTGAATTATCTTAATGATAATTAATGGTATATTTCAAATATTGCTTTAAAACTTGATTCATCCATTCTATTTGCTTATTAATTTGAGGATGAAAAACCAAAGAGAGCTTTATATCCACCTTTAATATCTTGAAAATTATTTTCCAAAATCTTGATATAAATTGAGTCTTCTTATTTGATATGATATCCTTGAGCAATCTATGATAGCAATAGATGTTGTTGAAAAAAAACTTAGCCATTTCTTCACCTGTGATAGATTTTGTATATAGTACAAAATATACCATCTTGGTAAAACAATCTACTATAATGAATGTAGAATCATATGAACTTGAGATTAAAATATCTATTTTAAAATCCATAGAAATAGAAGATCATGATTGTTCCAAAATAACTAATAGATGAAGAAGTCCATAAGATTGATGATGAGGAATTTTGGATCTTAAACAAATATGATCTGAATGTACAAAGTCTTTTATTACCTTCTATATTTGAAGCCACCAAAAATCTCTAGATATTAGCTTTAAAGTGTTATTGTATCCAAAATATCTGGTTGCTAGAAAGTCATGACAAGCTTAAAGAATATATAATCATGTTTCACTTTTTGAAATGTATAATCATTCCTCAAAGTAGAGTAGATTTTTTTTAAAGTCAAATTTAGGAGTATCATAAGATTTATAAAAATTATTCTTCATATCATGAATAAGAAGTTCAAAAGTCATACTTGATTAAATTTTCTTGATAAAGATTGAATCAATAGTCAATATTGATTTTATTGCTAAAGCATGAAAATACCCTGACTTCAAGAAAATTATTCTTTATTTCATCAAAAACTACATCTCATTTTTTTGATATAAGATAAGAATTTCTAAAAAAGGCATCTAATGAATCTTATTTATTTTTAGATCTATTAGTGATCTTGAAATCAAATCTTATTAAAAACATACTCCAACAAGCTTGGAAATGATTCAAAACACATGCTTACATAAAGTACTTGTGATCCATATATATAATAACTAAATTAGAAGCATCTTCTAAATAACGATGTCATTCTTGAAATGAATCCATAATTGTAAAAAGTTCTTTTTTATAGATCTTGTAGTTAATTTCAACTATTGAAAAAAATTTAGAATAAAAAGTAATTGGGTGGAGCTTATCATTTGCTATCATTTGTAATAAAATAGCACCTATAGCAAAGTTTGATGCATTTATTTCTATAAAGAATACCTTAGAAAAATCAATGCAATAAAAAATTGATATAAAAATAAATATTGTCTTCAAGGCTTCAAAAGATGTTTCTACTTCTTTGTTCCACTCAAGTTTTTCTTTACATATTAGACGTGTAAGAAGAGCTACAACTTGAAAAAAAGTTCTTGATAAAGATTCAATAATAATTGTTAAATTTGAAAAAATATTACACATCTTTGACTATTTTTAGAACCTTTTAAATTATAATAGTTTGAATCTTTTTAAGATCCATCATTAATCTTTTGTTGGAAATGATGTAACTTTGAAAATCAACCTAAGTAGTATGGAATATAAATTTTTTTATCTTTGTATATAACCTTATATCTTTAAGTTTTTGTAATACATAACAAATATGAAGTTCATGTTTTTTCTATGTTCTTAGAATAGATTAAAATGTTGTCTAAATAATAGATAATAAAATCATCAAAATTTCACAAAAGATATCATTCATGAGATGTTGAAAAATAGTTGGTATGTTTTTCAGTCCAAAAATTATGATATTATATTCAAAATATGCATACTTAATTTAAAAAGTAGGATTCTATTCATGTCTTTTTTAAATGCAAACTAAGTTGTATACTTCTTGTAGATCTATTTTTATATAAATCTTTGCTTGATTAACTTGGTCAAGAAGTCCTAAAATTAAAAGTATGAAATGCATATTCTTAATAGTGATCTTGTTAAATTCTCGATAGTCCACATACATCCACAATGATCCATCTTTTTTCTTCATAAATAAGATAGGAGCTCATGTTGGAGATTTTGAGTGGCATGTGAAGTTCTTAACAAAATTTTCACTCATATACTCATTTAGTGGAGCCAACTTATTTTAGGAT